CTCAGCCGGTCCCGGGGCTCTCCCCTCACGGCCGGGCCGAGGGCGCCGCCTGGCGGAGGCGGCGGTAGCGGTCGGGGCTCGTCCCGGGCCGAGCTCCGCAGTCGGGCGCCCCTGAGCTGCGGCCAGCGGGCCGGGGGACTGCAGGGGCAGCGCCGAGCGGCAGAATCTTCTCCCGGCCACACACGGGGCACGGAGGCGCCCAACAGGGCGGCTGGAAGTGCAACACACGCCCCCTCCTTGGGAAAGCAGCGGCAGAGGCCCTGATAGAATAAGAACTACAGCCCAGGGAACGATCCCAGAAGAGCTTCAGAGGGCAATGAATCATTCTCTTGTGTCCTTGCTACAGCCAATTTAATTGCTTAACTGCAATAAGAGCAGAAACTCTGCATTTTTCTTGGTAATATTTATTGTGAATGTTGAAATGTCATGTAGTTTTGAACTAAGAGATGAACTGATTTGATAGGTAAGTAATATAATTAATTGGAAGACCCTTCCATGACAATTATACATATATCATGTACATCCAAGCCATTCAAATGAGAAAATGCCACCTTGAAAATGAAGTAGAGAATTTAGTCATTGCTGAACATACAAGAATATGTCTATTTAGGTATTCTACACAAAGGAATCCTTGTGTACAGAAAAGAGACCTTGTTGATTATCTGATACAATCAAGTGCCTGTGAAATATAGTCCCTTACAGAAAGTATTCAATTCCTTCATGATTTAGAGACCTTCTTTCAGCTTGGAGTGCTCTCTTTCATATTCACAACTTGAAGCAGATAGTCCATCATCTAATAAAAAGAGAAACACATTATTTATGTACCGGTCCTGAAAAAAGTAATTCACCAAGTTTATAAACCTATTGTAAGTTAATAAGCCTAAGAGAAAACGGCTCTGTGCATTCACATAACAAACATATTCCTAATAATCTTTCCAAAACAGTACCCATTTGTCTTGGTTAGTGCAATAACCAACTGCCAAAGTAGGAGGAAAGTCATTCTCCCAAATAATTCTGTCTGCCATCCCATTTATATATTGTCTCATTAGTGTTTAAAAGCCAACTCATAGAAACAATTTAAAATTTATTTTCCAACTTACTTTTGCACTTAGTCCAACTTGCAGGAGAGGTTTCCCTTCCGACTTTTAACTACATTAACTGTAATTTATGGGCAGAACAAAGAGCAGGCAAGGTTATTAACTGAAAASAAGAAAATAACACAGCTGCACCATTCTGAGCCAAACTCACAGAATTATTGTGCTCATCTCTTCCCCTTTTTGACAATTTGTATGTTACAGCCATTTCCCTACTCTGGCTGAGTCCTTTAGAAAGAATTCTTTTCTTAAGAAACATATAGCCTCGTGTGAGGTTTAGTGGTGATGCCCTGGATGATTTTGAGCTAATAAGCAAGACCCTGAATTGAGTTACGTAAGGTATTTATCTGTTTTTACTTCTAGTTTTGGGGGTTCCTTATCTTAAATTTAAAATTCAAGCTCTAAATTATATTAGCTAAATTTGAAAGCATCCATGAAACTACAGAAGTTCTTGTAGTCCATTTCTTCCCAACACAGCCATTCTTTGCTGTGTGCAGCAGGTGAGACGCAGGGCTGCAGACACAGACTCCTAGTGGTTGGCATCTCTGTGAGTCCATGGGAATTGCAGCCCTGGGTGGGGATGTGCTCCTGGGACAGCTATTCCAGCAGCTGGCAGCAGGGCTCATGATCTACCTTCTTTTGGTCACATTTAATGTCTCAGTCCAACAGGCCACTGCACAGGAAACAGTAACCCGCTGTAAATCTGGTGTCCGATTCCTCCTAGAATTAGTTTCTGTTCCAAACTCACATGAAACATGCCTGGAAAAGTATTTCCTGGCACGCACAAATTTTTATATGTGCTGCGCCATCATCTTCAGTTTCCTGTACCTGGTAATCCTGCCCTGTGCATGGATACCTTCCACAGCTGTCAGACAGCAGCACCTTACCCCAAATCGAAGTCTATGTGTCTGGAACCCCTCACAGCCTGACACATCCAGACAATCAACAAAAGCCAGTTGTGCTCTTGTACCACTGTGCACATGAATTTCACTCAGTACATCAGAACTCTGCCTTTATAAATAGAGCATCTTTTATTAAAAAAAAAAAAAACCTTCTAAATTAAAAATAATTCTCATTATTTAAATGCTTAGAAAACTATCACAGCCCTCAAAAGAGTAAAGTACAATCCTCTTGATCATATTTATATGGAAGGAAGATCGCAGAAACACCTTAACTTTCAGGCACTTGCTTGAAGCCAGAGGGAAAATAGAACAGTTTATCCTATCTAGGCTGTGTATCATCAGGTGTTTGTATCCAACAGCAGGACAATACAGCTACAGCTGCTTTCATTATATTTTACTTCAGGGTGGAGACAAAGAAGCAGTTGAATGATGGAAACCAAAGGTTCTATGGCCAAATGAGGTTCTGCAAGTTGTCCTCTATCTTAGTCACAGGAAAAACATGAGCTTTTTTACTAATCCTTGTAGAAAGCTGGATGCCTAAGTTAATAACTTMATTATTCCATAAGGATGTTTGATGTCTGACCTCAAAAATATGGATAATAATTTAGGATGAAAGCACACACATAAGGATATGATTCAACTTACCAGAGGCAATTTCCAGCCTTCCTAAGTAGGATTTATTGACAGATACTTTTAGAAGTCAGAACATTTCCCTCTTTACATTGAATATGGAATTTGTTCATCTAATTTGATTACAAAGCTGCACACTGCAGAGCTGAAGATGGAATAAATAGTTTCTTTTTTAGATAGTATTAATCACAGTTACTGTGATTCATCACTGCCTTAAAGCCACAGCCAAAAAGCAACCTATGGGCAGCATTCGCATCACTGGTGTGAGAGACTTAAATCATGGCTTAAATGAAGGGGTACATTTTTATCTGCATTCAAATAAAAGCCTAAGTATTCACTGATTTCACTGGACCAGAATTTCAGGAGGGAAACTGGCTGAAGTTAGGCCAGAAATATGACATCATATTGCAGTAGAATATAGGAAGAAAAAAATCTTCTCATTAATGTCTTTAAGGGGGCATATTAATCTTTTTATTTTATTTCATTATCACCCAAAAGAATTCTGCAGCTTTATCACCATGACTGTGCCTGAGGCATCATAGGGAAAGGAGTTTTCTTGTAGATTTTATGACTTACATTAGACCCTAATTCCTTTCTGTGAAACCTCACTGTTATCCTTCCCAGTGCATTTTATAGGATTTTCTAAAAGAATAGGGATGAATCTGTTCCAAAGCCTTATTGCCTTGTGAACAGTACTAGGAAGAACATAAACTTGAGGGATGAGGAGGGGCAGCTTATCAGTAGCCCCAGACTCAGTTAGCAAGCCCATGAATGACCACAGCAGTGGCCATTACCATAGGTGGGGGGAAACGCAAAGGAGACAGGGACAAAGCCGGGACCAGGGGAAATTCTGCAACCCTGATAGAACATTTACCCAGCCCAAGGCAGAGCATTCTGAATGGTGATGGAGGGAGAGAATGTGATGTCCTGCGCTCACACCTGTTTTCACACCAGCTTGCCTTGGCGACATAATACATGGTGCTGATGTGATCACCTAGGCATGAAGAAAAATATGGCCCAACCAAGCAGCTTGAAGGGAACCCAGACACTAAAAACTGCTAGATGCCTGCTGTGTTTATGCCCAGTAACGAAGGAAGACACCAAAAACACAACCAGTGGGTGCCAAATTGTGATCAAGAGCAGAGTCTTACTGTGCTGAATGTCTGACACAGGAGAGTCATTTCTGCTGCTTTTCTGGACAATCCCCAAGTTAGAGGAAGTTGATATGTTACTGTAAAACAAAAATTGAACATATGGAGTATCTTGAGAGGTTTTATCTTACTTACATGTTTCCAACTGTTATTGTCATCTGTATCCCAGGTGTTCCTGGTATACCAGGGAATCCCTCCTTTTAAAAAGTGAACACTTTTATTTTCATTCCTTTCCAGGAGCCGTAGCAAATATTTTGAGATTTCTTCCCACTGCAGATACTCTTCCAGCTGCTTCATGTTGTCAGGTATTGCTAAAAATGGTGTCTTGTTTTCCTCTTCAAAACCATAAGGAAAATCTCCAGTGCTCTTTTTTCCCATCAAATGTCCTGTAACAACAATTACAGTAGCACAAGATGAACGAAAAACAGGTAAATATTTGATTGTTCAGAGATTGAATTTGATAAATATTTGATTGTTCAAAGCTGGACTTGGCTAGTGAT